AATGGTCCCCTTTCAAACCAAACCACACTGACTGCCATTGAGTTGACTTTGACTCATAGCAACCCTTTCAGACCGAGTAGAACTGCTTCATAGGGTTTCCAAAACTATAAATCTTCATGAAAGCAAACTGCCTTACTTTTCTCCTGCAGAGTGACTGGTGGGTTCATACTGCCAACCTTTTGGTTAGCACCTGAATGCCTGAAACACTGTACCACCAGAAGTCCTTGGTCCCATTTAGAAGGTGATCTAAAAAAGTTTAGAGGCAAGTCATTTTTCTGAAGTCTTCCTTTTAGTTATCTATTGCCACTAACAAAACTACCACAAATTTAGTGGAGGTTTGAAGTCCAAATTGGGTCTTATTTGGCTAAAATTAAGGTGTTAACAGGGTTCTGTTTCTTCTGGAGGCTTGAGGGGAGAATCCATCTCCATGTCTTTTCCAGTTTCTAGAGTCCTGGTGGCACAATGGTGGCTTACTGAAAGATCAGCAGTTCTAACTCGCCTGTTGCTCTGTGGGAGAAATGACCTGGACATCTGCTCTTGTGAAGATCAAACCAAATACCAAACTCACTGCCATTGAGTCAATTCCGACTCATAGTGACCCCCCTTTTTGTTTCTGAGGTGGTAAATCTTTATGGAAGTAGATTGCCCAGTCTTCTTTCCATGGAGTGGCTGGTGGGTTTGAATCACCAGATTTCTGGTTAGCAGTCAAATGCCTTAGGCACTCCACCACCAGAGCTCCTGCCCTGTAAAGATTACAGCCTAGGAAACCCTATGAGGCAGGTCTTCCCTGTCTTATGTTTGCTGTTAGTTGGAGTCAATTTGATGGCACACAACAAAAGCACTAGAGGCTGCCCACTTTCCTTGGTTCATGGGCTCATCCTTCCTCTTCAGAGCTAACAGCACAGCATCTCCAGAACTCTCTCTGACCCTGACCTTTCGGCCTCTTCCATCTCCCAAGGAGCCTGGTGATCACATTGGTCCCATCCAGATCCTCTCACCTTCACAGGATCCCTCCTCACTTCCGTCCTGTCCGTTCTGACTCATTGTGGCTTCATGTGCTAGAGTAGAACCTTGCTCCACAGAGTTTTCAATGGCTGATTTTAAAAAATTTTTTATTGTGATTTGGGTGAAAGTGTAAAGAGCAATTTCATTTTCCATATAGCTGTTCATACACATTTTGTTTCTTGACTTTGATTCCCCACAGGGTAACAGCTCTCTTCCCACTTCCTTTCTGTAATTACCGCTTCCCTGTGTCCTTCCTTCCCATGCATTCCCACCACAACCCCCTGTACAAACACTGCCTTATGTTCTCCCATGATTGACCGCTTCAGGAAGTGTATCCTACCTGATGTAAATGTTCACCGTGTATGCCTGTCTGTTGTTTGGCTGGAACCCACAGGAGTGAGTTCAGTTCCAGACCTGAAGGGTAACTAGGGACCATAGTCTTGAGGGTCTCACCTGGCTCTATCAGACCAGTAAACCTGGTCTTTTTTGTGATTTGGAGTTTTGTTTTCCCACTGTATCCAGGATCTCCTACACAGATCCCCCTGCAAGTGCTTGACAGTGGTCTCATTGTCATTTAGGCTGAGGATAACATGGTCTGCTAGTCCCTTGCACTAATTATTTGCATGTATCTTTGATTTTCTTCATTCTTCTTTGCTCTGGAGAGACGCATTGTTGCATCTAGATGGCCGCTTGCAAGCTTTTAAGGCCCTGGTCGCTACTCACCAACGTAGGATATAGAGCGATGTTTTTATGTAGTATATTGTGCCAGTTGAACTTGATGTCCCCTGAGATCACAGTCCTGATCCCACAGGTCCAACTCCTTGCTCCCTCAGGGTAGCTGGCTGTGGCCAAGGAGCTACCACAGCCTTGTCCCTTGTCACCTCTACTACACACCCAGACATTCTTACAGCACATACAAATACACATGTAGAAAGAAACACTGTCTGCCAACCCTCTACGTGGTCATAGGTACACTACCCTCTGCCTAGACACACCTGGTCCTTCAGTCTGACCACCCATGTACCCACCCGTAGATCAGCGGTAGCTGATATTTTCAGAAGCAGTTGGCCAGGCCTTTCTTTCGAGGTATTTCCTGATGGACTTGAACTTCCAACCTTTCAGTTACTAGTCGAGTGCATTAACCGTTTACACCACCCAGGGAATAGATGTAAGACAACGTAGTCACAAATTGTGGAGATCAGGATGTAGACTTTTTTTTTCTTTAAAATTGTGATTTGGGTGAAAGTTTACAGAGCAAATTCATTTTCTATACAGTAGTTCATACACATTTTGTTTCATGGCATTGACTGCAATTCCCCACCATGTAACAGCTCTCTTCCTACTTCCTCCCTGTAGTTACCTCTTCTTTATGTCCTTCTTCCCTATGCATTCCTGCCCTCTGAGTGGTCTCCCTATGCAAATACTACCCTTCTGTTCTCTTATGATTGGTCATTCTAAGGAATGTGTCTGTTGTCATGTGCCGTCAAGTCGGCCCCGACTCATAGCGACCCCTCCTTGGGTTTCCGAGGCAGTATCACTACGGAAGTAGGATTGCCCAACCTTCCTTCCGAGGAGTG